GGGCGCCTCACGGCTCCTCTCTCCCGCAGACGTTCATCTTCACCGACGGAGACGACCCCGAGCTCCAGCTGCTGGGAGGTGAGCGCGCCCTGCGTCGGTGCTGCCGCGCGTCGCCCGGTGTCACGCGTCCCTCGACCGGGTCCAGCCCCAGCCGCCCGTGGCAGGAGCTGAGGCACTGGCCAGGTCACACGCCAGCAGAGGGAACAGCCAGGACGCCCACCCGCCGGCCAGCGCCCGGGGCCCCGTGTTGCCGGCCAGGTTCTGTTCCCCCGCCACTACCACTGCCACTGCTAGGTTTCCCGGGGCCCCTGGCCAGTGCCACGTCCTCTCCCCGGCAGGGAACTTCCCTTTCAGGTCTGGTCAGGGCTGCCCCTCCGCGAACCGTTTCCACTGCTGGACTCCCAAGGGCCGGTTATGTGTTCAGTCCCAGCTGAGCAAGGCTGAGCTCGGGCTGCATCTGGACGTGGGCCGGGCGGCCGGGCACCGAGCTCTGGCCTCGACCTCAGGGGTAGGCTGGGCGTCCACCCTCCACTTCCCCTCTGCCAACTCAGCAGGCGGCCGCGTCGTCAACACCAACTGCTCGGCCCTGCGAACCCGCCAGGCGCTCTGCTGCAAGATGTCCGTGGAGTACGACAAGTTCATCGAGTCAGGTCGCAAGTAGGCGGTGGTGTCCCCCCCCCAACCCAGGGTGAATGGTGGGGGCCCTCTCAGCCACCAGCCCCGTGTCCACCACTGCCCTCCCTGCAGGTGGTTCTGCCACGTGGATGATGACAACTACGTGAACCCCGAGGGCTTGCTGCATTTGCTGTCCGCCTTCTCTCCCAGCCAGGACGTCTACCTGGGCAGGCCCAGCCTGGACCACCCCATCGAGGCCACCGAGAGGGTTCCTGGAGGCGGCACTGTAGGTGATGGGGCAGATGGCCTGAGGATGGCGCTGGGGGTCAGGGCTGAGGAGCTCTCTCCTGGGTGGTCTGACCAGAGCTTCCTGTCTCTAGGTGACCACAGGCAAGTTCTGGTTTGCCACTGGTGGGGCCGGGTTTTGCCTGAGCAGGGGCCTTGCTCTCAAGATGAGCCCGTGGGCCAGGTGAGTAGGGGCCCAGCTGCTGGTCCTGGGAGGCGGCGGGATGGGGGTGAGGGCTGAAGCAGCTGACCAGCCTTCCCCGCAGCTTGGGCAGCTTCATGAGCACTGCTGAGCGGGTGCGGCTGCCGGATGACTGCACCGTGGGCTATATCGTGGAGGGGCTGCTGGGTGCTCGCCTGCTGCACAGCTCCCTCTTCCACTCCCACCTGGAGAACCTGCAGAGGCTGCCTCCCGAGGCCGTGCTCCAGCAGGTAGGCCCTGGGCTCCCTGGCGCCTCAGCGGGCGCTCCTGCCCCTGGACCTGCCCCACCCTCCTCCATCACCCTGGCTGGCCAGCCCACCACCCAGGTGCTCTCCCAGCTGAGCAGCAGTACAGGGCTCAGCCTTGGGACTTCTGTGTGGTGGGGGGGACCCTGGCCAGGTCATTTTGCTACCGGACACAAGGTCATCAGGTAAAGAGCCCCTGTGCATCTTCCCGGGGTAGGGTTAGAGGAGAAAGGGCTGGCCCTCATGTCTGCTTCCTGTCCTCCCAGGTCACCCTAAGCTATGGGGGTCCCGAGAACCCACACAACGTGGTGAATGTGGCTGGAGGCTTCAGTCTGCAGCAAGACCCCACACGGTGAGCAGGTGGCGGGCTTTGGGCCCCCGGGGCTCGTGTTGGCCCACAGTCTTGACTTCGCTTTCTTCCTTCACAGGTTTAAGTCTGTGCACTGTCTGCTGTACCCAGACACGGACTGGTGTCCCATGCAGAGGAGGGGTGACCTCAGCTCTCGGTGACTGAGGACTCCTGGTGGCCACCCCCAGGGGGGCCTGGTTGGCTTCCTCTTGCCACCAGTACAGGTGCTGGGCAGATGCTCTGCCGGCCTCCCGCAACCTCTCCGCAGTCTCAGGGGCCAGGTGCTCGGGTGAGCGAGGACCACCAAGTCCCGTGCTCTGGCTGCCCAGGGGTGGAAGGAGGAGTGATGGGAGGACGGTGGTGCTGCTGGGCCCACAGGCACCTCCCCAGCCCAGCCCGAGCATCACGCCTGCAGGGAGGGGCCTCTGCCCAGCATCTGGACACCCAGGCTCCCAGGCTATGGCCTCCCTGCTCACCTGCAGAAGGGCCAGGCAGGCAGGATGCTCAGGAGTGGACTCCAGGAGGACTGTGGGCCAGTGAGGGGGCTTTTCCTGTAGGCCTCATGGGCACCCTCCCCACACAGACCGCTCGGTAGGGCCTGGGGCCAGCATCAGGGCATGTTCCCCGTAAAGCTGCACTTGCAGCCAAGAGCCTCCAGGGCTAGCCTCCCCTGGGGCCCTCAGGATGCCCTTCCCCATTCTGCTGGACACTCAGGTCTTCCCCACGGAGCTCTGTCCTTCCCGCCCTGGCCAGGGTTCCTAATGCAGCCACAGTCAGGGAGCTGGGGAACTGCCCCTTCCCTGCATCGCGAGTGCAGCCTCCCGTCACGCTCATTTGGGCTCCTATTTCAGTGGACACCCGCAGGTGGCAGCTCGGCCCTGCAGTCCTCCCCACAGCCACCCTCCTGCCCAGCTCGGCTCCCTTCAGGCTCTGAGAGCTTTTCAGGCCTGGTCCCAGGCGCTCTAGCTGCCCTCTCAGCGTGTCTCGAAGCAGTTGCCTTGTGTGCGTATGCACAGGTGTGCACTCCCATGTGCGGGCGGCTGAGAACGGGTGGCCCCCGGTGGGCAGGTGTGGACGTGTGCAGAAGGTGTACACTCGCTAGCCGTGGCTCAGCTTAGGTTCTTACGTGGGGTGAAAGCACGTGCCCCGTGCTGGGAGCCTGCCTTACGGTTGGAACACCGTCCTTTCCCACCGACAACCTGCGACCCGCCCCGGACCTGGGCCACGATGCCACAGCTCAGGCAGCTGTGGGATCTGATGGGCACCTGGGCTCCTAGCTGCGCTGCCAAGCCAGGGTGCTGGCCCATGTGTTGCATTAAATGCTTTTTCCACTGGGGACATTTACACCTTGCGATGGGTTCCTGGGACCCAGCCCCTGTGCGTTGGAGCAGCTGTGTGAAAGGCAGGGAGCCACACCGTGTGGCCAGGTCAGAGTCGGGGAGCAGAGCAAGGCACACCCCAGGACATCTGGGTCAAGGGTCACCAGCCTCGGGAGCCAGGAGCAGTGGCACACACCAGTAATTCCAGTGGCTCAGGAGGCTGAGGCAGGAGGATGGTGAGTTCAAAGCCAGCCTCAGCAACTTAGTGAAGGCTTCAGCAACTCAGCGAGACCCTGTTACTAAATATATTTCTAAGGGGGAGGGAGGGGCTACTGGGGGTGTGGCTCAGTGGTTAAGCACCCCTGGGTTCAATCCCCAATACCAAAAGAAAAAAAGTTGCCAGCAAGCCTGAGAACAGTAAGTTCTGAAGTCGCCCGGACAGCGGTTCCACAAGAGGGCGGCCCTGTGTCCCACGTCCATCTGCTTTGGCTGCTGGAGTGGAGGTGTGGCCAGCTGGCACTTGCTTCCCCACAGTGGATTGGGTGGCCCCTTCTTCCACCCTCACATGAGGATCTCTACCCGCAGCCTCCCCACAGCCACGTCCTTGGGCTAGGGACGTGCTCAGGCCACCAGAACAGCGACTCCCAGGTGTGGGCCACTGTCCCGCACACATGGACTCCCGGCGTCTTCACAGCCAGGTGTTCTCCACTGTGAGTTCAGCTGCTGGCGGGGAGGGGACCTGTCCACGGAGGGCTCTCTGGAGGTGGGGCCCGGAGGTGTGTGACTGCTGAGCTACCAGCCCTTTCTACTTTATTTCAGGATGGGGTTTTGCTAAGTTGCTTAGGGCCTCCTTAAGTTGATGAGGCTGGCCTCAAACTCTTGAACATCCTGCCTCAGCCCCTCAGCCACCACACCTGGCTTCTCTCCTTTTCTGATCCTCGTTGAGGCTGCTCCTGAGGTCTTGCAGCCTCTCTTCTGAGTGACTAGGCCCACCAGAGTTATGGTCAGACTTTTCTAACTGGTAATTTTGTACTTTAATCCAAAAAGCTGTTCCCAGGCAAAGCCAGTCCTGCAACTCACAATTTGGGAGAAGACTGGCCACCCCAGACTCGGGCCCTTCCATGTGGATCGCTCAGACTGCAGAGCAACCACTGCTGGGAGGAGTGGAAGGGCCCAGAGGTGACCCACAGCTCAGGAGCAGGAGGGACCTAGAGATGGCAGCTGGGGCCCCAGGAGCCGCACAGCATGAGAGGCTAGGGCCCAGACGTGGTGACACCCTAGGCAGCCTCCACACAAGTCACACGGGCTGGGGTGTCTGGCAGGTTACAGGAAGTGGCCATGCCTTGTCAGTGCCTCCCCTCCTGTCCAGCCTGGAGTGGTAAGCCCCGAGACCCTGAGGCCCCTCGCACCTTGCCAGCTCTTGCCAGGGGGGCCCAGGAGAGGAGCGGCCAGGCCAGACCTCCCTCTCCAGAGCAGCCCACGGCCCAGAAGCCCCTGCGAGGCCCCAGCTCCCGTGCCCTCCAAAGGAAGCTGTGTCCCCCCGGGTAGCTGCTGCACCTGCCTTCCAGAGAGAAGGAGACCACCAGGGTGTGCAGCTTAGTCCACCTCTGAAAGAGGAAGTGGGTGAAACACTGGCTCTCTTTGGTGTCTTGTATTTCACAAACTGCCTACAGTGGACATGTAGTAGATATATAGAAAAAGTAGAAAAGAAGTGGAACATTATTGACTAACATTAAAAATTGTTGGGCTGGGGACGTAGCTCAGTAGCAGCTGGTGCATGAGTCCCTGGGCTCCAGCACCTGTGTACTTGGTCATTCTCTGGACAAGCCTCTACTAAGCTTCAGTACCCCCGATGTGACTGCCCACCAGGCACCTGAGGACCAGTGCCCATAGGTTGGACCTGGCCAGCAAGCTGGGGAGGGCTCCAGGGCCAGATAGGAAGAACTGATGCAAACAGTTGGCGCCCACTACTTGCAGATTACTTGCAAATTCACCCCTCGCTAAATTTTATGTGTAACCCCGAACCAATATTTGCTTAAAAGAGGACATTATTCACAGATGCACAGAGGGGGCAGTTTGAGTGGCCGCCTTGGCAATTTAGGGAGCTCTGTCTCAAAATGAGAAAAGAGCTGGGTTCAGTCCCAGCACTGCAACAGTAAAACTCAGTGGCTGATGGACCACTTCCTGGCTAAGGCCAGGCTCAGGGACCTGCCCTCTGGCTCTGCTCTGAGGCGGGGACACGGGTGCTCAGGCCGCTGGACCTGCTGGAGCCCCAACTCTGGCACCCAGAGGTGGCCAGCCTCAGACAAGTCACTTAAAACATTTTACTTTCTCTCAAAAAATAGACTCTGCAGAAGGCGTTGCCCCTAAGCTGCAGGAGAGGTCTGTTTCCTGGCAGCCACGGCTGAGCATGAGTTGATTCCGTGGTTGCACAACTCTGAGTGTGATGAAAACCATAGGGACTGCCCAAAGGCTCCCGAGATGGGCTGGTTGAGAGGCCCAGGCAGCACTGGGCACCGGGGATCTGTCCAAAGCACGCCTGGGGGCAACCTGGTGCTGCAGCTCATCCTGGGGACAGCAGCAGAGGGGTCCTCTGCCTGTGTCTGCGGCCAGGGGCCAGGGGTGGAGCTCAGGACGTCAGACACCTTGTTCATCAGGTCTGGGAAGGTCCAAGCCTGGCTGGTCACACAAGATCAAGGTGCAGTGTGATTCCTAGCCAAGATACAGAAAGGAAGGTGGTGGTGGGGAGACCTTTGGTGTTACCCAAGAAGTCAGTCGGGGTGGGCGGGGGGCACGCCTGTATTCCCAGCACCTCCAGAGGGGGGCAGGAGGACCACACGGTGTAGGCCAGCCCCGGGAACTTGGGGAAGCCTTATCACAATGTCAAAAGGGCTGGGAGGTAGAGCACTCCTGGGCTCAACCCCAGGACGGGGCGGGGGAGTGAGTCAAGGTAGTGAGTGTAAGATTGGAAGAGCACAGTGTTGAGCCCTAGTTTTATTTATTTATTTATTTATTGGTGCTATGGATTGAACCCAGGGCCTTGCACGTACTAGACACGTTCTCTACCGCTGAACAACATCCCCAGCCTTTATAATTCGATTTTATTAACAAACATTTCCGCAAAGAGATCTCCAGGACGAGATGGTCCGATTTACTAGACATTCAAGGGAGGGCTACTATCAATATGAGACTCAGCAAATAGAGGACCTTTCCCAACTCCTACCCCAAGGCCAGCAGGACCTGCTTCCAGCTCCGACAAACACATGAAAACACTGACGCCTACGTGTGCATGGGTACTCAGCAGCCAGTGGGGGGCGCTGAGCTCCCGAGGGGGTGCCTCCACTGCACCCGTGTGCTGAGGGGCAGGAAGGGGGAGAGTGGCTGGTGCCCAGAAGCCAGGGACGATCCTGGGCAGAGCAGCGTGCACACTGCAGGATCATTGCCAGCAAATCTACCCAGCGATAGAAAAAGCCTTTTGCATAGAAAGTGCTGGGAAACCGACATCCATGTGGCAAAAATGCACCCTGACCCTTCTATCAGGCCCGACAGTCACCTGTCCAGGTGATGCGCAGATTCAGGGCCATCCTGGTCAAGACTCCATGACTTTTTTCTCAGAGTCTTAGAATTTATTTGTAATCGCGTAGGAAATCTCAAGGGGCCCAAGAAGCCCAAACAGTCCTGGGGGGGGGGACTCCTTTGTTTCCTGATTCACCAGCAGCTGCCAGCTGGGTCCCGGACCCTGAGGAGAAGACCAGGGCACAGAAGGGAGCCTGGGGCGCCAGGCCAGGTGCAGGTCGCTCCACGGGAAGGATAGGTTTTCCAACGAGTGCGTGTGGAAACTGGATTCCTACGTGAGAGGAGGGCACGGCCTTGGCTGATACCACTTACCAGAATTAAAACGCGAAAGACCAAGGGCCAAGCCAGAGCCAGGGCACCCAGAGTGGGGGGGCGCAGCCCAGCAGCAGTGTGTGCCTAGCCAGTGCCCACAGCCCCGGGCTCCTGGCCCCTTCGCACACACAGACTGTTGTACCCAAGAATGGCATCAAAAGTAAAAGGGCAGCCCAAAGAGACTGCGGGAGTGTTCACGGTCACTGTGTGGTAGGGGCTGCTGTCAGGAAGAAGCAGAGGATTCACAGAGCAGGCGCAGGCCTGGAGACCCCTCTCCCAAGGGCCCCATGGCCAGCTACAGAGCGGACACTCAGCAGCTCTAGCCGCCAGGTGCTCTCCCCTCCCTGGGATGACTGCGCCAGGCTGCAGGGGAGAATGGGGACCTCGGAGGCCCGGCGCACAGTTGGTAAGAATGTTAACTGAGTCCGCACAGGGACACACCTGTCATCCCAGAGGTTCCCGGGCCGAGGCAGGAGGTTGGAGCATGAGATGAGAAGGGCTGAGAGCAGCTCAGAGGCAGAGCCCAGGGTTCAGTCCCCAGTTCAAAAAAGGTGAGAAGAAAGGAAAGTAGGGCCACTGCTGTCGGGGACAGTCTGGCAGCTCCCCACGTGGCCCAGCAGCTCCAATTGAAGATATATACCCCCAAAACTGAAATCAGGGTTCTGGGGGTGCTCGTACTCCATGCCCACAGCAATGACAGCCGGCACAGAAGCAGCCCAAGTGTCCACCCACCAATGAATGGACAGGCCATCCACATTATGGAATGCCATTCAGCTCTACAAAGGAAGTTCATCATGGTGGCACACCTGTAGTCCCAGCTAGGGAGGCTGAGACAGGAGGCTCACTTGAGCCCAGGGTCTGGAGACCAGCCTGGGCCACAGAGAGAGACCTGTGTGGAACAGGAAGGAAGGTGGGAAGACGGGGAGGAAGGAAAGGAAGGGTTATGGAGAATGACATTCCTACCAGACAACCCCTGGCCAGAGACGTGGAGAGAGCGTGGCTTGGGAGGGGGAAGAAAATCAGCCAAACCTGAACCTCTGCCCGGAGTAAGTCTTTCCCAGTAACGAGGCCCCAGGGGAGAGCCGGCCTTCTCCCTCCCCAGGCTCACCCAGCTCCTTCCCAGCCCCAGTGGGTCCTGGAGGAGGGAGGCCGCTACACTGGGCCCCGAGCTTGACCTTCCCCCCTCGCCAATCAGTGCTGCGTGGAGGCCCACGTGGAGGCCCAGCGCAGGGACTTCCTGAGGAAGAAAAAGAGCGCTGTGCGGCGCGACTAGAGGTCTCACCCCAGGGTCTCAGCAGCTCCCTTCCCCTGACTTTAGCCTGCACAACTAGGTCCGCAGTCTCCAAGGATCAGCTCACCCTCAGTGTAAACGATCAAACCCAGGCTCCTTCTGGAACCTGGGCCACTTTTGTACCCAGAAATGAGCCCTCCAGTGCCCGGCTGACTCCAGGCTGGTCCCTCTGAGGCCTGGGTCTGCCCCGTCGTTTGTACTTTCATCATGGAGCTGAGACCCTGTGATTAGTTTTGCTTACAGAAAAGAAGGAAGGAGGGAAGGGGGAGCGCTCTGGCGTGTCCTGCACCCTGAGGGGCTGAGAGGACACACAGGGGCAGGTCCTCCCCAGGAAGGGGGTGAGGGCTGGGGTTGGCAGCCGCCTGACCTGGCGACACCAGAGCTGGCTGTGATCCCCAACAGCGCACAATGAAGTCGCTCAAGAGCTGCGGAGGCAGCAGAGGGAACGCTCACCCCGCACCCCGGCATCTAGCACCCTGCACCCAGGCGCCAGGCGCACACTTACACAGCTGAGCTGGGAAGGGGTCTGCTCTGTGGCTGGTCCGCTGGTTTTCAGACAGGATTTTCCTAAATTGCTGAGGCTAGTCTGTGACCCACGCCCTCCGGCCGTGTCTCCAGGGTGCTGGGATGACAGATGCGCGTCCCTACCAGGCTGCATACTATGTGCATCTTACTGCAATAAAACAGTCTGGGAATAGGTACCCAAGTTAGGAAGAAGAAGGACTATCTCTATTTGCAATGATTTGATTTTATATCTAGAAAATACTAAATCACCACAGAATAACGGTTATAGCTGATAAAAGAATTAAGAAAACCGCATCTGGAACTGCGGGTAGATCAGTGGCAGAGCACTTGCCTGACACACTGGAGGCCCTGGGTTCATCCCCAGGACCAAAAAAGAATTGAGCAAAGTTGTGGAATGCAAGGTCAGCATGCAATAGTAAGGAACATTCAAAACCGAAATCAAGACAATTGCATTTTGAATTTAAAAGAACCAATCATATAGGAATAAATTGAACAACCAGACAAACGACTAATACACTGAACACTGCAAGATGTTCCTGAAAGAAGTCACACTGGGAAGGTACCTGGGCCCTGGTCAGGACGGCTGCTGCGTGTCCAGGCTGAGGGGCTGGCAGCCTGAGCCTCCCACTGGACGCCGGCCACCCAGCTGGAGCAGTGACTGTGCACAGGGTCCAGCTGAGGGGGACAGGGCCTGGCTGTTTGGGGCTTGTTGCACTCTGCTCTGGAGAGGGGACAGCCCCGTCGTGGGCACTGGCTGGAGTGGCCCTTGGGGCCTGAGAGGACCCGGGTGCTTCTGGCCTGGGCTGGCTGGGGGAGAGGGAGCAGGGTTCTGCCCTCCCAGGACGTCAGGCTGAGGGAAGGGCCAGTCCTCTCCCGGGGACTGAGCGCTGGGGTGGGAGTCTGCCGGGAAGAGACCCCTCCTCACACCCAGGACCTGCCCACCCAGATGCTGACCCTGAGGGCAAGGGCCTCAGTTTCTCCAAGTAGAGGCCACGGGGTTGGTAGCCCGACACCCTGCCCCCAGGGCCGATCCCAGGAGACGGGGCTGGCCTTTCCCACGGTATCTCTTTACCCGCTCTGTAGCCGGCCCTGCCCACTCAGAAGAGCTTAGCCTCTGGGAGCCCGCGGCGGAGTCCTGTTATGATCCCATTATGTAACAGGGTGGGTTGGCCTTTCCCACCAGCAACGCCGCTGTATCCCGGGGCAGAGGACCAGGGGATCCTGCCTCCCACGCGCCCCCAGCACTGCCCTAAAGCTTCTGCCAGGCTGCCAGCAGGGCTGCTCCTGGCGGGCAGAGACCCCACAGCAGGGTCGGGGACTCAGCTGCCGGTGGAGGCAGGAGGTTAGGGTGCCTGGAGAAGGACGGGAGAGGCCTCGGCCTCCAATCTGACCTCATGCCCAGGCTCTCGGCCAGCCCAGCCCTGGGCACAGCACCGAGCCCTCGTACCCCCAGACTCAGGCCTCCCTCAGCTCCAAGGGCCACCGACCTCCCAGACCCCTCCCTCCACGTGCCAGTGAGGCTCAGAAGACAGGACTGGAACCGAGGGGCCTGTCCCATCCGTCCATGCTGGGGACAGCAGGTCCTGGTGGTTTCTGGTCACACAGGACTGTCCCAAGAGCAAAGGACAGGACAGCCACCCGATAGAAGTTTGGACTGGAGCCAGGCGCTGTGGCACACACCTGTGGTCCCAGCAGCTCAGGAGGCTGAGGCAGGAGGATCTCCAGTTCAAAGCCAGCCTCAGCAATTCATCGAGGCGCTTAGCAACTCAGTGAGACCTGTCTCTAAATAAAATACAAAATAGGGTGGGGACCTGGCTCAGTGGTCAGTGCCCCTGGGTTTAATCCTTGGTGCCAAAAAAAAAAAAAAACCAGTTTGGACCGGATGCTCTTGAACCCCTCATTGTCCAGAAGAAACAAAGCAAGGCCTTGGGGTGCCCCAGCTTCCCCCGGGAGCAGGGTCTTTCCCAGCCCCTCACACTGCTACCTTCAGAGGCTCCAGACCAGGCCCGGCCAGGAGCCTGGGAGCCGCCAGAGGCCAGGGCAGCAGGAGCCGTCTCCGAAACCCTCTCTGCGGCTGGCTGCCTGCAGAGGACTCCCTGAACCAGCCGGCCACGGGAGCCTGCTGTCACCTGCTGGGGAGACGGTCCTGCAGGAAGCCAAGCCCGGGACAGGGTCATGGCCAAGCCTGTGGTCCCTCAGGAAGAGCAGCATCTAGGGTGGAGCTGCTGACTCCACCTCTGTGGGCCAAAAGTGCCTGTGGACGTGTGCGCTCACGCGTGTCCGAGTGTGCCCATGTGCACATACACGTGGATTCACGGGAGTGCCGGTGTGCCTTCTTGGAACGTGGGTACCCGCGTGTGCCTGGGGCCTGCCTGTCCTGTGTGCGCGTGGGGTGTGCGCCCTCGGGCCCGGGTGCCAGAGTTTCTGTGTGTACACACCCGCTCCTGAGTGCACGTCCCTGCGTCCCCCAGGAGCCCCAGGCACGTGCTCACAGTGTGTGCCTGCACCAGGGCCAGAGGGGCGTGGTGACTGGGACAGCTGTCCCCTCCTGGGGTCCCCTTGAGCTGGCGCTCAGCGGGGCCTGCTCCAGAAAGCCCCTGCCACCCAGCCCTGTGCTGTGGCTCCCATGCTGAAGGGAGATGGCCGCCCGACACGGTGCCCTGAGTGAGAACAGCAGCTCCCTCGGATGGCGGGAGCCTGCCGGACCCCAGGGAGAGAACCATCGCTTCTGCTCCTCCCAAGTCCCCAGGATCTGAGCTCCTTTGCAGGCCGATGGTGGTCCTCAGGACACGGGTGGACTTGGGTCATACAGGCCCGGCTGGTCCACAGAGAACCTTTGTGGGTCCAAGGGCTCTGTCCAGGGCACCACAAGTTCTCCAAGCCCACGGGGTCCCCTGGAGAGAACTTGCTAAGCCCTGACCGTTACAGTTTCCCGTTCTCCTCTCCCCCAGGGAAGGGGATGCAGACGCTCTGAACTGCAGGCCTGCGCCCGGGCAGTCGCAGCTCGAGTGCCCTCCTCCTAGTGAACCCGGCACACTGCTCGCCCACACCCAGCGCTCTCCCCGCACTGTGGCGAGACGGCAGCAAGCCCCTCCCACCTCCTAGGCCCAGGCCGCGGAGAAAGGGCACCGGGCCTTCTGGTGGTCACCCTGAGCCGCCCTGCACCTGCTCCTACTCCAACCTCACCCCAGATCAAAGCTCGCTGTACCGCGTGCCCAAGAGAGCTGACCAGCGACTGCCTCTCGAGCAGCCGGGCCAGAGGACCGCGGCTGGCCTGAGGGCAGCAGGCTTCATAGCACCGACGTCACAAAGCTGGGTGTCTCGGGGACTTAGACCTGGCAGGGTCCAGGCAAGCGCCACACAAGGGCCGACGGCAGGTTTAGGATCCACACGGTGTGCGTCTCCAGTCGGAGCAGACAGAGTCCCATCAGAGTGGACGAGGGGCAGCAGGGACTGGAGGGCGGGTGTTGCCTGGCCCAGCAGAGCCGGGCGGGGGCCAGCTCCGCGCACGGGCAGGACCCCGAGCAAGTGTTGGTCAGATGGCGGCAGGCCAACAGAAACCCTCGTGTTTTACAGTGAACGGAGATGAGCTTCCCATGGCTTTGTGACAAGATGGCTCCCAACCTCAGGACGGATCAGGCTGGGTCCAGCACCCGCTCCCCAGCACCCCAGCACCCTGAGCACCTGCTCGGGGGCCGCCTGTGCTCTCTGCAGCCACAGAGAGGTGGATTCTGGCTCTGTCCCTGGGGGTCGTCCTCCACCCGGGCCTCTGCCCACGCGTCCACTCACTCACAGACGAGACCCAGAGCAGTGATGGACAGGACCTGCCCTCCAGAGTCAGCCTCATGCAAGGCAGGGGACATGGATGACCCCTGATCCTGGAAGACATGGGGGGGGGGTGCAGAGGGTCCAAACATTGGACAAACTGACCCTCCACTGAGCCCAGAGGCCGAGAAGGCAGGGGATACGGGAGACCAGCAGCAAGTGCCCAGGGAGACGGGAGCCTGGAGCCACCGGCTGGGCCCTGGGCAGGTTCAGGCCCCACAGACCTGGGGAGGCCAGCGAGGGTGGAGGCCCAGAGGTCACCAGATGACTGGTCCTGGGGACACTGGCAGAGGAGAACCCGGGGGCCAAAGATGAGGAAGGGCCTGGGCAGGTGGGACTTGGGCTGAGCCGCCAGGCAGTGACGGGTGGGGGCTGGGGTGAAAGTCAGGTGTGCAGGAGGGACGGGCCGGACCCAGGGTGGAGGCCCAGGGGCCTCTTCAGTCACCCCCATGGACTTGGGCTCCCAGTGGGGACACAGCCTGGGCCCTGGGCGTCTGCGATCCTTCCCCGCGTCCGTCCTGCTGCACTGTCCTGGGCCCAGAGCTGGGTGGCCTTCTCACACCCTCCCTGGGGAGGGGCCCTCCTTCCTGGCTCTGCCGGGAACCCTGACACCCCCGCCCTTCCCTGAGTCCCTTGTCCCTGGCTGAGGCAGCCCACGTGTCCCCTGGGGAGCTTGGGGTCCGGTTTCAGGGGCCCCACCAAGCTCCCTGCACACTCTGAGAACAGGAAGGCAGCAAAGCCTCCCTCTCTGGGGCTCCGCGGAAGGAATCAAGCCCAGAGGCTGGGGGGGTCTCGCCCAGCCCAGGTGCAGGGAGGGCTCCCAGGGAGCGGCCCAGCCCAGGCTCTCCTGGGGACGCGGCTTCTGCCACCCACCAGCGGCCCCAGCCCCTCCTTCCCGTGTCAGAGTGTGTGCGAGTGCACACGTGTGTGGGTGTGGGTGTGCCTGTGCGAGGGCCTGCCTGCAGAGCCCAGGCTGGCCAGGGAGCACGCTGGCCTCCCTGCTGGCCTCCCCCAGGAAGTCCAGGACAGAGCACTGTCCCGATGAGTTCTGTGGTGGCTCCACCTGCAGGCTCCGACCTGGCCCAGGGATGTGGCCGCCACCCAGCGCCCGTCCCCTGTGTGGAAGGACAGCAATGTGGAATCTCAGAGTCCCACGGCGGCCACAGCAGGGCTGGAGAGGCCCGTCAGATGATGTGACGTTATTTGGAAAAAGGGACTTGGGGATGGGGGCGGGGAGCTGATGGTCCCTGGGCGTGACGCAGCTGGAACTCTAGTGGGCAGTCCTTCCTCTTAGCCTCCCCGAGAGGCAGCAGCAGCCCTCTGCAGGGCGACTGCTCCCTGCTGGAATCCCGTGGCCCCACTGTGGTCCACAACCAGAGTTGGGGCCCAGGGAGGTTGGCGTGAGCTCTGGGGGCACACGGGTGTTACGGCAGGGGTGCACTATTGAGGTGGACACGCGCACGGTCGTGGGAAAGGCCCCTAGAAGTTGTTGGAATGGACTCTGCCTTCCTGAGGGTGACCAGGGGCAGGACACATTCCAAAAGGGATCCCCGGGATCAGCAGCCGCTCGGCAAGTCCTGCTCACAGACGTGAAAACACGTGTCCCCCTCTCCCTCCTCAGGTGCTCAGAGAGCAGACGGAGCCCGGCCCGGGCAGATGGCAGGAGGGACTGCAGTCACACCTGCTGCTCCGCCTGCTGATGCGCGACGGCCCCCTGCTCCCAAGCACCCTCAGGGCACGTGTCCGGCTCTCCAGGGCGTCACAAGCTCAGGAGACGCCAGGTCCTCATCCTAAGGAGCACACAGGCCACGGCCCCCGGAGCGCACTGGACCTGCCCTGGGCCTTGGATAGGACGTGCGTCCCAGAAGGCAGGAATCCACCCGGCCACCTGAGAGAGCACGCCGCTGCCCGAGGCGCCCCGGCTGCTCAGGAGGAGGCAGTGGGAGGTCGTCACAGGGGAAGGCCAGGAACAGACCAGGCTGCCCTGGCCACACGTGACAGAGCCTGCGGCAGGTCCCCCAGGTGACTCGCGGCACGACGCATTAGCAGCTGACAACTATTCTCATCTTTAGGAGCATCTGCTATGAGGTTTGCTTCTGGGACTTAGAGACTGAACACGTAGGCACGGGCCACCAGTCACCCTGTGACCAGAGCTGCCTGTCACCAGTGGGGGTTGTCACATCTGTCAACCACAGAACTGGAAATCCAGGGAACGCCTCAACAGTCCCTGAGCCGGAGGAAGGAGGGACGCTCTTCGGTGCTGTGCCCCTGGTGGCCAGGCGGGGGTTGGGCAGCGTCCTCCAGCATGGACTCTGAGCTGTCAATCACACACGGTGCACGCGCTTTCTCTCCCAGAGCCAGGTGCAGGCCCCAGGGGCAGGGGCAGGTGGGAGCCCTCCTCTCCCTGCTCCCCCAGGACCCACTGGCAAAATGTCTGCCTCCCACTTCTGCAACCCAGGCTGCACGCCGGAAAGCAGTCCTGACCCCCCGCAGGAGTGCTTCCCAGGGGACGCGAGGACGGTCCCTAACTGAAGTGGGTACTGCACTGGCTCCCGAGGTGCTTCACACAGGTGAGCCAACCCCGGGGCAAAAGAGGCCCTTCCAGCTGGGCACTTGCTGCTGACCGTCCAGAGGCTGGGCTGCCCGGGGCACACCATCTGCCACGAAGGACATCTTGACTCGGGGGACCCGGGGCACCCTTGGTGCTCCCACCCCGTGTGACCCAGGTGAGGCTCCACGCTGGCACGGTCAGTGCCCGGGCTTGGCCGCTTGGCCAGCTGAGGTGCTTCCTGGGAGAAAGGAACAGCAGTGGGGTGGCCGTGTGACTGCAGGACCCGGAGCAGAAGGGAGCCGAGGGACAGGGTGTCCGTGACGGGTTGGCGCATGGCGTGCCTAGATGCCAGATCCCTCTCCCTACACAGGGCTAAATCGGCGTGGCCACCGCAGGCCTTCAGCTCAGATTCGGAGGACGCAGCTGGGCAGCGGTGGCCGTGGGCTTTCGTGTCTGGAAGTGTGGAGCAGCTGACATCCCCAGGGGTGCTCCAGACTCAGGTCTGTCCCGTGAGGTTGGAGGAACTGATGTGACTCCATTTTTGAAAGAGCAGCCTCTACCTCAGCAGGCCTGTCCATAGGGAGGGTGACCCTTGACCTTGGAAAACCTGTTCCTGGGCCACAAGCTCCCTGCTGAGTCCTCTGTCCTTGACTGAGCAAATGCAAGTTCCTGAAAGACCCAAGAAGGCCTGAGGCCTGACCGGGGCCTAGCAGCAGCCAGCCAGAGCCACACACCCAGACGCCCAGCCCTCCCAGGGCTCCCTTTGTACTCTGGCAGCCCCTCGAGGCCTACACCAGTCGGTTCAAACCTGTCCACCTCTTGAACTAACCAGTCACCTAGCCAACCTGCTCCCCGGTGAAGGTGCTGACCAGTGTCAGGAGTTGTTGTGTGACTTTCCCGTGGTGTGGAATGACTTGCTGTGTGATGTTGTGACACATAGAGGACCCCCCAAAACCTATAAGGTCTCACTGGACACAGGACCGGGACTCACTCCCGGGACCGCTGCGTCGGGAACGGTTGAGTCCAGGCTGCAGCTTGCAGCAGACTCTTGTGTGACGGCATCGCATTCGGCTCCTGGCGGTCGGTCGATGGGGTCCCCCGAGCCTGGCCTTACAGGCTCCCCGTCAAGAGGGCCCCTTGACGAGGCAAACCCAAACCCAGGGCTGCCAGCCAAGGCCGCTGCCCTCCGTCAGAGCCTCAGGCAGAAAGGGCAAGCAGGGCGGGGGACAGCCCCCCTCCTGGTGACCGCCCTGGGGCTCAGGAGGGTCCCTGTCCCCACACAGAACACGGTGGAGACAGGCTTCTCCCGGGGGAGCGGGGACTCTGAGCCAGAGCCTGTGGGGGGTGTGACTTCTTTACAGACTCCAGACCCCTCTAGTCATTGTCTCCCCTGTGTGTACGTGACCAAGGGCAGGGACGCCCAGAGTGCCCAGGAGCACCGTCACAGAGGCCACCTCCCTCTCCACCCCACCCTGTTACCTACACTGACCGCCTGACCTCTGCCCTGCCTCAGCTGGCCACTGAGCCAGGCAGGGGTCACTTTATAAACGTGTATGTGGGGAGAGCTGCAGGCCCCACGGCGGATGCCCGGTCCACCTCACAGCTCGAGGGCTGTGGCTGTGCAGGCCAAGGCAATGGTCAAAAGAGACAGACACTAACTATTTGGGGGCTGATGGGGTGTTACTTGGCAAATGGCCCCCAAACAGTGCAGGGGAGAAGGAAGTCCTTGTGCTGCACTTGGTGAGTGCAGAGCCAAACTGCAAAGCGGGAGATGGCACTGTGGGGCCTGTGACCTGCAGCAGGTGAGCAAGGACAGCACGGGGCGGCTCCTTTCAGAGAGATGCTGTCCCCGCAGAGGGTCCTGGTGTTTGGCGGAGGAGGCCTGGGAAAGGCGCATTTCTGAGCATGCTCCGCTCCAGGTCATGGAGCACCTGGTCAGACGTCGCCAGAAAGGCCCGGGTGCTCCCTTCAGCCCTGGAACGACCAGGTCCACACGGGCTGCCGGAGTCGCAGTGACCTGATGGCCTTGGCTGGCTGCTCCTTCGTTCTTCCAAAGAGCTTCCGCTGAGACGAAACGAGGACTTTGAAGGTACGTTCTGACTCTTGAAAGGCGGCAGCTTCCCAGGACGCACAGGAGTTTGTCCTGAAGCGAGTCCTTACTGCATAACACCCTGCGGCTGGACGGTCTAAACATGGAAACTGCAGTGGGGAGCATCTGCTCATGGGTCAGCAGGGGGACGTGGCCGGGTGGTGGGGCTGGGTGCTGTGTGGTTTTCACTGGAGGCCGGGAGATGTTTGTGAGCTGCTGTGTGCCTCCGGTTCCAAGCCGCAGACGTTGAGGGACACTCCCAGAGGGACGTGTTAGTGACTCGGGCCAGGCAGGTCCCTCGGAATCAGAGCCACTGGGATGGTGTGAATCTCACCACTGGGATGGCCCAGGTCATCTGGAGATGGCTGCTAGTGGGGGTCAGGGGCACAGTGGAGCTGGCACCTGGTCCTGGGATTCTCCACGGATGCTCTACCACTGAGCTGTACCCTCAAATCCTTTTTATTTCTTATTTTGAGACAGGGCCTCCCTAAGTTGCCCAGGCTGGCCTCAAACTTGTGACCCTCCTGACTCAGCCTCCCAAGCCACTGGGATCCCAGGACTGCTTCTCTGTTTTAAATGGGAGCCTGACCCCAGCCACACCAGGCCCTCAGGGTCCCCACCTGTGTGGGTGGGGTAGACCCTTGACAGAGCTGATTTCCAGTCTCTGCCTCTTTACCCTCTGCTCCCCAGAGCCCCAGGAACCTCGTGATCTGCCCTTTCAAAACTCAGTCTCTAGGGGCTGGGGCTGCAGCTCAGTGGAAGCCCACTTACCTGGCATGGGAGGCACCGGGTTCGATTCTCAGCACCACATGTGAACAAATAAGTGAATAGAATAAAGGTCCATCAACAATTAAAAAAACCAAATTCCTAAAACAAACCCCCTAAATTTCTGACACAGGTGAAGGGAAACCCCAGCCGAGCTCTCTGCCTGACCCCGGCCCAGGCCAAGATCTCCTGCGCCTCCTCAGGAGCCACAGGTCAAGGGCACGACTCTCCCGGAGGCCCGAGAGGTTTCAGAGGGCAGGATGGCAGAGCAGAGTGACCAGTCCACTGGTGAATGTCTCCTTGGGCGTCTGGCTCTGGGTTAGAGGCTCGGCTTCAGGGTGGGGGCCTACCTGCTGGTCCAGGCCTGTGAGTCAGGGCCTCTGCCTGACAGGGTCCCCGTGCCCTGCCCTGACTCCCCTGGACAGAGGCATTGGTCCCTGTCGTCCAAGGGCCTGGACTCACTCTTGGGGGCTCCCCAGAGTGGAGCCAGTTAGCTGCAGGGCAGGCTGCAGGAATGTCAGCTGCAGGTGGCCTCAGGGCTGGACACGCTGACCCCCGTCAAGGCTGGACACTCGACCCCCACCCGTCTGGTGTGAAAGAAACCCACATCTGACCCCTGCCCGTCCGCCTGAAGGCAGAAGAGGACACCCTCAGCCCTGCCGTGTGACCCCAGATGGTTACACGCCAACAAGTCAGCTTGCAGACCAGAGACCCCACTGGATTTGGGCCATAAAACTCTCCCCCCTCTTTCTTCTCTTTCCCTGCTGTCCGTCCGTCTGTCTGTCTCTCTCTCTCATCCTTCCCTGTTAATCAGCGCCACAATAAAGACCCCCTGGCCACTTTCCTTTCAGAGCTGGGTGGGCCTGCTGAGCCTCCTGACTGTGGGGCTAGACCGCCCGCCCCAATGCCGGCCATTGGCTCCCAGAAGGACACCTCCTGGGGCTGCTGCTGGAGCAGGAGCCTCCACACTCCGGAACCACCTGGCAAGGACAGGTGAGGAGGACTCAGGCTCAGTGACCTCCAGGTGCATGGCAGGTGGGGCGAGGTGCACAGGCCCGTCTTCCCAGCTGGCTCCTGACGAGGCTCGCTGCCGCTGCACTCTGGGTGCCCGTCCCTACCCCGGGCAGCAGAGCCAGTCCAGGGTGCGGTGCTGAGTGTGGTGCTACACCCCCTTCCCACTGGGCACAGACCGGCTTCCTCTTCTGGCCTAGTAGCAGAACGGTGTTAAGGGAAAGGCCTCTGTGCAGACGAGACCAGTGGACACCATTCCAGGCTGGGGGTGTCTTTTGGTAAAGCACTTAGCTGGCCATAGCACTGACCACCCTGAGCAGCCAAGGGTCCTGGTTGGAGGTTGAAAGGCTCACACAGACAGCAGGGACAAAGATGAGGCACTTGACTGCCAGCCGGTGCTAGCTTAGGTAGGAAGTGAGAGTCAGTTATCTTAAACAGGAAGCCCCCGGGCCATCACGGCCAAGGTCAGGTCCTTGCCTACGGTGCACCACGTCCACCCTGCATGAGATTCATGGGAGGCACGCGCTGTCCACGGGCACGGAAGAAGGGAGGAGCAATTAGAAAATTTTCGAAACTCCTTGTTACCTGCCCACTGGCCACTGGCCCGCCGCCATGTTGCATTAGGGGCTCCTTACCTGAAAGGCTGGGAAGTTCTCAGGGAGACGCCCAACAGAACCCCCAGCCCTCTCTGTGTCTACCCCTCCACACGCACACTTTGCTGTTTTAAATTCATTCTCCAAATCCCAACAAAGCATCTGACTGCCACGTCAGGGAGTAAGGAGGGCCGTCCTTGAAGGAAGTGGGTGATGCCACCTTTGCCAGGCCTTCCTGGCTCTGGTCCCACCCCTGCCCTGCCTGCCAGGCAAGTCTATAAAAACCCAAGTCCTCCCCTCACCGCACGACCAGGCTGAGAGGCAGCACCATGCAGCCGAGTTTTAGTGGCCTGCGGGCTCTGGTGACAGGAGCAGGGAAAGGTAAGTGAGCCAGTGTGTGCGTGCTAGGTGCTGGGGAGAACAGGGCCACCAGACACCAAGCCACACAGAGGCCCGTGGTGACCTTGTCACAGCTCACCCTCCAGCACCTGACTGCACCCACCCAGGGCTGGAGTCCCTCCCCAGCCCACAGAGACGGGAGAGCTCACCCTGGCCTCAGCCAGACCCAGGCTGGCAGATGGGGGTCCAGATACTGCCTTCTCCCTTGGGCCTGGTGGGAGGGAGCTGTCCTGGGCCTGACTCCGGTCAGTCCCTGCTCCACTTCATCCTGGCCCACTGCCCTCTGACCAGCATCACCTCCCTGCTCATTCCAGGGTGGGAGGGGCTGCAACTCTCACCTGCACCTGCTCCCCGCACCCCAGCCCTGACCAGGTGTGTAGGGCCACCTCTCCACTGAATCCCATCCTGCAGGGATTGGACGGGACACTGTGAAGGCCCTGCAGGCCTCAGGAGCCAGAGTGGTGGCTGTGAGCCGCACCAACGCTGATCTGGTCAGCCTGTCCAAAGAGGTGAGGCTCACAGCCCTGCTGGGGCCAGGCCTGCCCTCCGCACCCTCAGGGATGCCACAGGAGCCTGCTGGCACCACCCACAGGCCTCCATGCAACATCTCCCACAGTGTCCTGGAGTGGAGCCCTTGTGTGTGGACCTGGGAGACTGGGAGGCCACTGAGCGGGCACTGGGCGGTGTGGGCCCTGTGGACCTGCTGGTGAACAATGCTGCTGTGGCCCTGATGCAGCCCTTCCTGGAGGTCACCAAGGAGGCCTTTGACAGGTAGGAGGTGGGAAGAGCGCTCTGGCTGGGGAGAGGCCACCTAGCACAGGTGGGCAGAGCATGGTCCCTCTCTCCTGCCAGGTCCTTCAATGTGAATCTGCGTTCTGTGTTCCAGGTGTCTCAGGTGAGCCTGTGGGAGGTGTGGGCCAGTCACAGGGTGGGTGGGTCGGCTGAGGTGAGCTGCCCCACTCTTGGCTGACAGATCGTGGCCAGAGGCATGATAGACCGGGGAGTGCCAGGATCCATTGTCAACGTCTCCAGCATGGTGGCCTACGTCCCTTTCCCCAGCCTGGCTGCCTACAGTGAGTGCAGAGCCCCTGGCTCTGGGGCTGGGCCTCCCTGGAAGGAGGGCTCAGTCCCTCAGGGGTTCTCAATGCTGTCCCCGTGCAGGCTCCACCAAGGGTGCAATGACCATGTTGACCAAAGCCATGGCCATGGAGCTAGGGCCATACAAGGTGAGCCAAGCCTGAGGGGGCACTAGAGGGACACAGAGGTCGTGGGTTAGTAACCACCAGCTGAGGTTGCCGCCTCTGGTCCCTGGTCCCAGATCCGAGTGAACTCGGTGAATCCCACGGTGGTTCTGACGGCCATGGGCAAGAAAGTCTCGGCGGACCCTGAGTTCTCCCGAAAGCTGAAGGAGCGCCACCCATTGAGGAAGTTTGCAGGTCTGGGGAGGAAGGCGCGGGTGGGGCGTGTCGGACGGCTGAGCCCGACAGACTGACCGGTCCGGCGCCCCGCAGAGGTGGAGGATGTAGTGAACAGCATCCTCTTCCTGCTCAGCGACAGTAGCGCCTCTACCAGCGGCTCCAGCATCCTGGTGGACAACGGCTACCTGGCCTCCTAGGGCAAGCCAGCAGGCCCGGCCACCCGCTGGCTGGGCTGTCGGGCTCGCCCCTCCCAAGCCGGGCCCTTGGCCCCCGCACCCCCACCCGTGCAAGCCCCGCCTCCACACCACGGCCCCTCCCACCTCCACGCCCGCCGCCGCGCACGTCCAGGGGGGCACCACGCCCAGCCCTCCCCACCTTTCTGCTCCCGCCCCTGTTAAGCCCCACCCTCAATCTACGCCCCGCCCACGCCCTGCCCCTAGCCCCGCCCCGCCCTCGGCCCAACGCCCCCCGACACGTCTCCCAGTCCTGGCCCAGGGCCGCGCCACGATGCGGGCCCCACAGACCACCGCATCCCGAGCCCTCAGGCCCACCGCTGCCTCTTTGTCTAAATAAATAAATGGACGCTATTTTCCCGGAACCAGCGCTCTGGGTGGGCGCGTTGCGACGCTGGGCCGGGGGAACAGCGACCGCACGCCCGGGAAGCTGCTGACCCCGCCTCGTGGCCAAAGGGCGGACGCCCCTCCCGCATGCTCATCCAGCCCAGGGCAGAGGCAAAAGGCCGGGAGCAGCCTGCAGCGACCTCCCTCCCCTGCGGCTCACCCAGGGTGCAGGGGAGGGGAGAGGTGCTGGACCCGGGAGGACGCTCGGCCAGAGGAGCCCAGCGTTCAGAGGCAGCGGGGAGGGCGGTGGATCAAGTCTGTCCCTCCTCTCCCTGGGACGCCCGACCCGCTCCGGGCACACCTCCCGCCAAGAACACCGGAAGAGGGCGCCCAAGCGCGCTCGCCCTCTGGGCTCTACTGACCGTCGGGCGGAATCAAGCCCAACAGCCCTGCCACGCAGGGCTGGCCAGAGCGGCTTGCAGGCCCTGTGGGGTTTCAGCTGTGCTTGCCCGGGACACGGCCCGGGCATTTTGGAGACACTGGCACAACGTCCAGCCCGGGGCCAGGAAGCAGAGAACGAGGGGCTGGGGCTGAGACGTCTAGGCAAGGGCTGGGAGGGCACGGTGGGGTGGGAGTCGCGGGAGGGTACTTGTGACCGGTAGCAGCATGGTCTGAGCTGAAGCTTACTTTGGCCTGTTTGGCCAAGGATCACAGGACAGTTGATACAACTGATGAGATCTGGACACTTGCAGGGGACAAGGCCCAACTACTGAAAGGGTATAAGCAGAGGTGCCTCTGAGGAAGGGCCATTTAGGGGCTGTCCCTCCCTTGGTCTCTGGCAGGCAGAGGGCAGGGTCCAAGGTTAGGGACAGAGGCAGATATTACAGGGACCTCACAGGGGGTGATGAGCAGGCCAAAAGCCAGGCCTGTGGGGAGCGTGTACTTGACCATCTCCCAGGGTCTCTCAAATCCGTGTTCCATATTTGATGTCGTTTTTTACCTTCTAAAAATTCACTTTCTTACCTAATTAAAAAAAAAAAATCTGAGTCTCCTGCTTCACCTGGCCATCCTTGCCTCCAGCCTGTCCACCCCAAAGCCCCATATATCCCCACTTCCCTACTACAGAAGGTCATCAGGACCGTAGTGACTAGACTTCCCCACCATGACCAACAGAACAAAATAGCTTTTGTAGAGTGATCCAGCACAGCCCTGGACATGTACACCGTAACTGAGGATGAGGACTCAGGGAGCAGTACTCTCCTCTGCCGGCCTCCCCGTACCTCCCATCACTCCAGTCCTAACCCTTTTATTTATTTATTTGGTGCTGGGGATTGAACCCAGGGCCTTGTGCCTGCTGGGCCAGCACCTACCAACTGAGCTCTACCCCACCCCCTTCCTTTCTGTCTACTTTTAAAGGTGCTGGTGGCCTGATGGGCAGTCTGGGGTGGCCTCGGGATCAACTAACTCCCTTTGAGGCTAACGTGGAACCCTGTTGGCAAGTTCATTCGGTCGTCCAAATTCTTTCTGGGCATTACAAGTGAGCCAACAAGACCCACTCCCGGCCTCTGGAAGCGGGAAGGGTGAAACATTTTTGCACCTGTCAGTACTGTGTTCTCCATTACAGGAGTAGCCGCACGTTATTTCTGACATTACCTTACTTATTATTATTATTATTATTATTATTATTATCATTATTTTGTAATAAATTTGGCAGGGAAAAACTTGCCAATCGGGACTCGCTAAACCAGATTAGAGCGCAGGGCAGTTTGAAAAGGCCCGCCCCAGGGGCCAACGGGGACTCCGCCTCTCCACCGTTCTGCCCTCTCCTCTTCCCAGGAGGGGGCATTATTAGAATGTCCCCGCCCCCTACCCAGAAGCCGCCCTGTGATTGGTCTTGCAGCGCCCCGCCCCCGCCAGAACTCCAAGTCCAGGGGCCCAGCACAGGGTTCCCAGGAAGAGTCGCCATGGAGCTGGGGCTTGCGGGCCGTCGGGCGCTGGTCACCGGCGCTGGCAAAGGTGGACCGCGGGCCGGGACAGGGGAAGGCGGGCCGGAGGCGCAGGCGGGGGGTGGCTGGCGGAGGTTTTCCGGCACTGAGCCGCGCTCGCCCTAGGCATCGGACGCAGCTTGGTCCAGGCGCTGCATGCGGCGGGGGTACGGGTGGTGGCTGTGAGCCGGACCCAGGCCGACCTGGATAGCCTTGTCCGCGAGGTAGGCGCTACAGTCTCAGCCCTGCGGAGAAGCGGGTGAGTGGGCCCTTTGGGCCCCTGCCTCCCCTCGTGGGCACGGTGCTTCTTGCCTCTGGCCAGGCGCCTGGCGCTGGTGCTGGCAGGGCCCGCAGCACCCCCTCCCAGGAGGCGCGGCTTGGTGGCTGCAGGGTGCGGGGTAGATTGGCTTGGCCCCCTGGGCTTGGATGAGGTTGAAGTGTCTTTTGACCTGGCCCTGCGCCAGGATCGCTGGGGCAGAAAGGAAATGAACTGGATGGAGGCGGGCCCAGCTCTGGGAAGTGCAGCCCCCGTTTGCCTGTAGGCAGCTGAGACCCCTGAGACCCCTAGCTCCTCTAGCTGAAAGCCCTTTGCAGCCCCAACTCCTCCCAGCCCAGTTCCTTCCCTCAGGTGGCAGCCGTCCACCTGTGCCCCTTCTTTGGCACGGAGCCGCTGGTAGCTGTGCCTCATCCCAACACAGTGTCCTGGAGTGGAGCCCTTGTGTGTGGACCTGGCAGACTGGGAGGCCACTGAGCACGCCCTGGGCAGCGTGGGCCCTGTGGACCTGCTGGTGAACAATGCTGGCGTGGCACTGTTGCAGCCCTTCCTGGAGGTCACCAAGGAGGCCTTTGACACGTGAGCCAGCTGGGGTAGAGGAACACTGCAGGAAGGGGATGTCCCCTGCAGCAGCCCTAAGTCCCTGACCAGGACTCTGCATCTGCCACTAGGTCCTTTGATGTGAACCTGAGGGCTGTCATCCAGGTGTCCCAGGTGAGCTGCCCTGCCTGGTAGGAGCAGGAACTCTTAAGAATGGTGCTGGTTCTGCCTCCTATCTCTCTGCAATTTCAGATTGTGGCCAGGGGCATGATTGCACGGGGAGCCCCCGGGGCCATTGTGAATGTCTCCAGTCAGGCCTCCCAGCGTGCACTTACCAATCACACTGTCTACTGTGAGTGACTGGCTGTGACCTGGTCCCTGCTCCACCCCAGCCTGGCCAGCTTGGACTCTAAGATGTCCCTCTTCACAGGCTCTACCAAGGGTGCTCTGGACATGTTGACCAAGGTGATGGCCTTAGAGCTCGGGCCCTACCAGGTGAGCTGGGCTGGGGCACCTCCCACCACCCAGCCCACATGCCCAGGGCACCCTATGGGCCTTGCTGATCCCTGCCTGTCCCTGTGCAGATCCGAGTGAATGCAGTCAACCCCACAGTGGTGATGACACCCATGGGCCAGGCCAACTGGAATGACCCCCACAAGGCCAAAGTCATGCTGGACCGCATCCCACTTGGCAAGTTTGCAGGTGAGTCAGGCTGAGCCAGGTGAAGCAGCACCAGTGGCCTGTGCCTGCTGGGGTTGGGGCTGGAAGCCACTGAGCTACTTCCCCAGCCCCTTGTCTGTGCCCGACACGCCCCCTCTGCCCACAGAGGTGGAGAATGTGGTGGACACCATCCTTTTCCTGCTGAGTGATCGAAGCAGCATGACCACAGGCTCCACTGTGCCAGTGGACGGGGGCTTCCTAGCTACCTGAGCCCACCCACCTCAGCCCCATACTCAGCCTTCCCCTGCCCTCCAATAAACCTCATTCTTCAGCTCCCTGTGTGCCGATTCCAAGGGAGGCCAAGGCCCAGCAGATTCACAAGCCAGACCAGGTGGTGGCCTGGCTCTCACACCTGAGACTCAGGCCCGACTGGCCTTCTGGCAGGAGCTGGGGGGTGAAGTCTTCATGAAGGCTGGCTCCTAGAGTGTTGGCCTTTGGCCTTGTGTGTCAGGGAGCTGCAGCCACCTGGCTGTGGGCCTCCCTTGGAGTTAACGAGGGAGAGGCACGTCACACTCATTCACTGGTGCCCGAGCGACCTGGTTGATTTGACAACCGTCCCCCATACTAGAACACCCCACAGCTTTTGTGCTCCAGCTGTGGGCTTGCCCATTTCTGTGGTGTAAATACCCTATTTCAAGCTGCTCACTAAATGTCACTGGATGTGGAGTGGAGAGAGATGGGCAGTAGCACCCTATTAGGTCCAGTAGTAAATGGAAACATCCCGAGGCACAGATGACACTGTTATCACAAAATAGGTGGCCATGTGTTGTATTTTGTTACTAGGGATTGAACCCAGGGGTAATTTATCACTGAGCCATGTTTGCAGCCCATTTATTTTTAATTGTGAGACAAAGTCTCATTAAATTGCTGTGGCTGGCCTCAAACTTAACGATCCTCCTGCCTTAGCCTCCTGACTAAATTTGTTTTTAAATATATTTTTTTAGTTGTAGCTGGACACAATATCTTTATTTTATTTTTATGTGGTGCTAAGGATCGAACCCAGGGCCCCGCACATGCTAGGCAAGCGCTGTACCTCAGAGCCACAACCCCTGCCCCTACATCTGGTTTTAATAGTTGCAAGTTTAATTACTAATGACGGCTGTTGTTAACAAGTAGCTAGCAAAACACCTGAAAACGCATCAATCAGCCCTCCTGAGCCAGTGTGAACTGCCTGGGCACACCATGGGGGTGGTCAAGTGTGGCCCTGCAGGGCACCCTCTAGTCCTGGGTTTGTCTGAGGCCTCCAGGGTAAAGTCCAAGCCCTGGACTATGGCCCGGCCCTCCCTGGGCTGCCCCACCTCTTCTCTCATTTCAGCAAGATCAGCTGTCACTCCTCCTGACCGCCATTTGTTTGGTTAGGCTGGGCCCTTCCTCTTCTTAGCAGCAGCCAGAGAAGGTTGGGTGCTGTGGGGAGCCACCCTGGGTCCAGCAGGACTTCATGAGGCCCGGCTGGGCTCCAGCCTCTGCACACCTTCCCTGGCAGCACGCCGGGGAGCTGCAGGAGACCCCAGCCCCCCAGGCCCCAGGTCAGCCAGCATCCAAAGGGGCTAAAGGCACCTGCCTTGCTTTGGTCTGGGGAGGGTTTTTGGGCCCGGAGCAGTGCCTCTTACCCAGAGTGTGAGCAAGCACAAAGTCCCATTTGGGAACCTGTGTCCAAGTCTGCTGCCAGACTCCTCCGCATCTGCTGGGGGTAGCTGGGGGTGAGCCGCCCCAGGGTGATGGGCAGGACAGGTAGTGAGAAGCAGGAGTGTCGATGGAGAATGTTTTATTGTATAAAATAAGAAGGGGCCGCCCCCTCTGGGGACGTAGTGGACAGAACCTTCCCACCCACCCACCCACCCACCCATCAGGGAAGCCCATCCTGGGGCTGCCCTGGACCCACCCCTGCAGCCCTGAGGGAGACCCTGCTCCCTCCTGGCCTCTCATGGGGGCCAGGGAAGGCTGGAGTTGTACCCCAGAAAGAGGAGGCAGAGGGGACAGGACCCTGTCACCCCAGCCTTGTCCCCATGCTTCCCCTCCCCACCCATACCACTCCCCACAGCAGACACCAAACAGCTCAACACAGGGCACACTTGGGCCAGGCGCTGTCCCTCCCCAGGCTGGCCTGGGGGAGCTCTAGAAGACCGTGCACTTCTTGCCAGGCTTTTTCACAGGGGGTGGGCAGAGCACTGCCCGGATGGCCTCATCAAATACCGTCTTCAGGCCCCGCTGGGTCAGGGCAGAGCACTCCAGGTACTTGACAGAGCCTGGGGACAGCAGGGTAGTGGTGGGGGAGAGAGGGGTCAGCGAAAGGACAGCGAGGATGGGGGCAGTGGGAAAGAAGCAGGGACCCCAGAACACACCCTTTATCTCCCACCTGGGGCCATGCTGAACCCACTCACCAATCTCTCGGGCCATGGCCAGGCCCTGTGGGTAGGTAATAGGTGCCAGCTTCTTGTCCCGCAGCCGCTCAATGGTGTCCTTGTCATCACGGAGGTCCAGCTTGGTGCCCACTAGGAGGATGGGCGTATGGGGGCAGTGGTGCCGCACCTCTGGGTACCACTGTGGGGACAGAGGCTCTGAGCCTGCAGGCACTTGGCCCCCTCTATCTAGGCTGCTCCCCCAGCCCTGCCCAGGGCAGGCCCCAGTTCCCCAGGCCTCTTCAGTCCCTCCTTGGACACGCTGGGCTCCTCCACTCTGGGGCACACTGGGGACATGACTGGGAACACAAACACCCGGCCAGAAGGCCTTAAGGCATACCAGGCCGCCAGTCAGGGCCCACCTCCAGGGGAGCTGTCTGCCCCTCTGACAGCAGTGCCCCCAGAGCCACCCTCAGTGTCCCCCTCAAGCAGAACAACGTTTCGTTTCCTCTGAAGGACTCGCTGCTTAAGGTGTGCAGGAAGAGACCCCTGACTTGGGGCAGACGCTCAGGGCCAGCCCTCCCCAGGAAGTGCGGTCCCTCCAGCCTGGCCTACCTTGGCACGGACGTTCTCAAAGGAAGCTGGGCTCACCAAGGAGAAGCAGATGAGAAAGACATCCTGGAGGGGGAGCAGATGAGAGGTCAGGAAGGGCTCAGAAGCTCCCTGTCCCCACCCCTACCCAAGCTCTGCAGCTCCTTTGGCTGGCCCTGTTGTCACCTACAGTTTGAGGATAGGAGAGCGGTCGCAGCCGGTCATAGTCCTCCTGCCCTGCGGTGTCCCACAGCCCCAGGTTGACTGGCTTCCCATCCACCATCACGTTGGCTGAGTAATTGTCAAAACTGCAGAGCAAAGTGGCAACGGGGCTCGACAGGGGCTCGACAGGCCACCCAGCAGCCCGCGGGAGGACTCAGGTTCTTAATTAAGCCTGCTGCCCAGCGCTTCAACTCCACCGAGGAGGCCCACAACCTGGGCCACTTGGGGCGAATGAGGGGCCCGGAGGAGTCCCTGTGTGAGCTCAGCCCCCCAGCCGGTTGCCGCACCTCCCACCCGCACGCACTCACACAGTGGGGATGTACTCTCCGGGGAAGGCGTTGGTTGTGTAGCTGATCAGCAGGCACGTCTTCCCCACGGCGCTGCGGACAGAGGGCCAGCCCACGTGGCTCGCGGGCCCAGCCTCGCACCCTCTGCCTAACAAGGGCAGCCCCTCCCACGGAGCCAGAGACCAGTTTGGGTGGCTGGGAGGGTGGGGTGGGGCCCGGGGACCCCCAGAAGATCCAGAGCCACCTGGGACTGGGGGAGAACATCCAGGGCGCAGAAGCAGAGCCTCCCCACCCTGGGTCCGGCGCGAGATCTACGCGCCCAGGAGGGCGGCAGGAGAGGGTGGGGCTGCGGAGGGCTCAGTGC